AAAGTAATGCTGTTTGCAGCCACATGGATGGACATGGAGATTGTCATACAAAGTGAACTAAGTCACAAAGAGAAAGAAAAATACCATATGTTACCACTTACATGTGGAATCTAAAAAAATGATACAAATGAACTTATTTACAAAACAGAAACAGATGCATAGGCATAGAAAACAAATCCATGGTTACCAAGGGAAAAGGTGGGGGATAAATAAATCAAATAAACTTGACTGTGGTGACAGTTGCACAAATTTGTGAATATACTAACCAATACTGAATTGTACACTTTAAAAGGGTAGATTTTATGATATGCAAAGTATATCCCAATAAAAAAAATTTTTCATTAAAGGGTAAAAGTTTATAGTATATGAAGCCAGCAGCCCTCAAAATACAAACTTAACAATAAGACATTCTAAAGGGGAAGACAGACAATATATAACCAATGTTTTTATAAAATTATGCATTTGTCTCTAAAGTTCAATTAATAAAAAGTTTTAAATTTTTAACATTAAGCCACCAGAACAACAACAAAAAGTAGAGTGTTTACTTACCACTTCTCTTTCCAGTAAGTTATTCTTATTTTCAAGTGTTCTCACACGACTAGTAGCTTCATTCAGAGCACTGTCTAACTGGCTACATCTGAAAACCATATATTGAAATAAAACAATTAGAAGATAAAATCCTTTCCCTTCAAAGTATTATAAAAATCTGATCCTCCAAAATATTACATAAAACAAATTCTTAATGTTAAGCTAAGACCAAGGATGCCACTTTAGCAAAATATATCCCAAAGAATCTAACGATATGATGGTCTCTGGAGAAGATGAAAAATGATATGAAAAGATCTCTGAGAAATATCAAGTGAAAAAAACAAGATATGAGCAGTCTCTTGTACATGAATGTTCATAAAAGCATTATTCACAATAGCCAAAAGATGAATGCAACCTAGTATCCATCAATGGATGAACAATCAAATGCAGAGAGTGTGTGTGCGTGCGTGCACGCACGTGTGCACGCAAAATAGAGTCTTATTCATTCGTAGAAAGGAAGGAAATTCTAACACATGCTACAACATGGATAAACCTCAAGGACACCATGCTGAGTGAAATAAACCAGTCACGAAAGGACAAATACGGTATGATTCCATTTATACAAGATACTCAGAAGGATCAAATTAATAGAGACAGAAAGTAGAATGATGGTTGCCAAGGGCTCGGGCTCGGGGTACTGGGGAGGAGTTGTTTAATGGGCACAGAGTGACAGTTTTGCAAAATAAAAAGTTCTAAAAAATGGATGGTGGTGATGGTAGCGTAACAGTGTGAATATACTTAATGTCACTGAACTGTACACTTAAAAATAGTTAAAATGATAAATAGTTAAAACGGTTATTTACCACACTAAAAAATAAGAAGTAAGACATAGAAGACTGCATAAAGTAACTTTATATTTGTTATGACAACATCTGTATGTGTATACATCATGATTTCTAGAAGGATGTGAAAAGTCTAGGATGTGAAAGGAGAGGTTGAGGTAGGGAGACTTCCTACTAAAACCTTCTGTACTGTTTCAAATTAGCATGAATGCTTATTCTTATAATTACTTTCTTTGTCAAGTTAATTAGCATAGAGCCTCAAAATAACAAAATACATGGAAGAATTCGGTAACTTTGTGACCCAGTGTTTAATGATGTATTGTGAATAAAAGCTAATACTTTTGTGGCGCTGATCACACGCCCAGTCTATGTCAAGCACTCTACATTCACCCTCACAATCCTGTGAGTTAGGACTGTTATCATTCTCATTTCACAAATGAGAAAATGAAGACAGAAAAGTTAAGCTCCTCCCGAGTCACACTGGGATTCTAAGCCAGGCAGTCCGGCTCCAGAGTCCATGCTTCGAACCACTATGCATTAATGCTTTACAAAAATGAAACACTGATGAAACTGTTCTTGAAACAAAGATCACTAAATAGTTAAGTGTAGGTGTATTAATTGTTATCATTCTGTTTTAATTGCCACACTGATTCTGGTATGCCATAGGTCGCATCCCCTAAGTGGCCACTGTGCGACAAGGTAAGTGTGAACAGCCCCATTTGCAGCAGCAGGGGGATTCTCCAATGTGCAATTTTAAATCTGAAAAAACCTACTGTGTATACTGACAACATAGTACTGGCTTTTGTCTTAGGTGAATTGTTTCCCCAGTTCTAAAGGACTGCAACTTCTCATTTTGTCTCTACTGTCCTCTAGCACATAGCTTTATCCTGTAGGCCAAATCACGTGCTCTTGGGGGCAGCAGGAGAAAACAACGTGTTGCTCATCGTCTGCATGGTATCGGACATTCCCTCAGGTTACTGCTGTAACACAACCGCTTATTTAAAACCCTGACTCCCAAATCGCTCCTCCTACATTCTCCCACTGCTCTGTGTGCACTGACAGCTTTTAGACATAAAAATGTTTTCATTAGCTCTCCTTTACTCCGTGCCTTCTCTGCACTCTGTCTCAGACCAAACAAGGTCTACAGGTAGTAGGCAGCTTTCCTATTTCCTGTTTTCCAACAGGAAGTACCTGCGGTCATCGCTGCCTTCTTAAAAAAATGAAACAAAAAGAAGGACCGACTTCCCCTAGCCTGCTATCTTTCCCTTTTGTTCCAGAAAACCTAAAATTGATCTTTTTTCTGCTTCTTTTCAAATTACTTCTACCATTGTACCCCCATCCTCACCACCTACAGCAAAATGGAAGCTACAGAAATAATCAGGACTAAGATAGCATGTTAACCACAGCAGCCACAAATGTGTAGCTAGTTTTCCTAGAATTCCACAAGTTAAACTGTTAACTGAACCAGAAGATTTCAGTTCCCTACTAATCTTTTCTCAAGGGGCTTTGTCTTTTTGCCCTGGAGAAGAATTCTTTGCTGTCATCTAGCCCCAATCAGTTTCAGTCTGTTTAATTCCATTCGAAAAGTATGTTGCAAGTACATTGCTATTAATAGTATAAAAGCATCAAATTTTGTAAATGACTGTCTAAAATAAGTGTAAAGCCATCCCTAATGTTAAGACCATTCTCCCCTGTGTTTCTACAGATTTTCTGAACGAGATAATTACTTCCACAGGTTCATGAATGTCTGGGTTAAAGTTAAGCATATCTGGGTGTGAAAAAGGTTGACAACTACCCCAGGACTTCAGTCATAGACTTATTAGGGAATCCACACATAGTACTAATCCCCCTAAAAATGACATTCGTTTACATACATAAAATCTGCTTGACTGTCTCAGTATTTCACCCACGTGAAAAAATGTTCTCATCCGTTATCAGTGTTTTGTGAGTTGGCTCAAATCTTCAAAAAGAATTACTTAGGCAAACATGTTTCTCTGTGAAAATTTTCCAATACAAAGCACATGTTTTCAAAGTGTTTTATCATCACGATAGATTATACTTCAGGGAAAATAATAAATCCAAGGTGCAGAAACACTAAGTTTACAGTTAAATTACAAGCTTTACCTATCTATAAGAATTTGATTGGTTTTCTTCCAATCTTCAACTGCAGAAATTTCTTTTGCCTCCAGTTTCTGTTTCAAACTATTTATCTCTGACTCATAATAAGCTCGAAGATCTGCTATGTGTCGAGCATGCTTTTCCTTCAGGTTCTGCCTGATCCTGTTGGTGAGATTGGAAAAAGTTATTAAGAAAACATCTCCCCACACTCTATCGCAATAAGAAAAACCACAACAAAATTATTCTCATAAGCAAAAATACAGCCACTTCCCTTTGTACACCCACAGAAAATAGAATAGATTAAAATATCAAATTGACAACTAATTAAGTGAAGAAAAAAAGACATGGATTATTTTTTAGATGCTCTACCTAAAAAATACTACATATTTTAAAAAATTTTTTATTACTGAAGTTCAATAAAAACAATTTTCATCATTCAAGCAGACCCTCACAGAAAGTCTACTGACATCACAAGACAGTCACTGAAACACATACTTGGACAATATGACAGGATCTTCCAGGGAAGCCAGTGCAAAGCAGTCCGGGACACTGTTGGCTGCACCTGGGAGCTGGGACGGACTGACTGAGGCGGAAGTTACCGTGACAGCGTCCTCTTCGTCCACGGCGCTGACTGAGACGTCGTTACTGCCGATGGTACATACGGAAGGAAACGTGGAGCTGGTCCTACTGTCGCTGTGGAACGCGTGATTTTTCCAAGAACCCACTGGTGACACTTTTGTATTTGAAGGATACTTTGGGAATCCAGATAACTGAGAAGCGATATGACTTTCCCGTGAAAACGAGTCTATGTCAGAGTGACTAGACATACTAGGTTCCAGAACAGAGTCCGGTGAAAAGGATGTTCTGTCATCAAGGGCACTCAAAAAGCCACGGGGGTGAATCCCTGAAATCTGCTGATTTGGCTTCACGTGTAACGTGGGGTCTAGAGTCAGTACCTAGAAGACAGACAGACAACGGTAAGCTCTCACCAGGGTACCCACTGCTCTGTTTGAAAGCGAGTAGGCTTCAGGTCTCCTAGGGGAAAGGAAGCCCGAGACGAGAGTGAGTCATGAAGCACCTTCCACTTTCACGCAGCAGTGCTGGCAACTTTACCTCTGGCGGATGAACCGGGCTGGAAGCAGAAGTGAGATTCCTCTCGGGTAACTGCTTGTTTTCCCTTTGTTTTTTATGATAAATGTCCTTCAGTGATGGTAGCTTCATCTCATTACTAGCATTAGACTTAAAGATACGAAACAGAATTATTTAAATAGTATTATCAATGAATCAATGATGAGAAAAGCTTACTTTCCTGATATCAAGATCAGCACCATACAAAGATTTTTGAAAAATTTTAAATAAACGGAGACCCTAGAATGTCAGACTTGCAATCAGAGTTTGGAAGTCATTACCTATTATGAGGCTCCCTCAGAATAAAAAAATTTCACATCCCCTAACAATAAATATTAAGAAGATAACTTGAACCTAAGATACTTAGCAGCCTATGAAAACTTCCAAGAATAAATCCCTTGGTAACTTCCCTACTCAAAATAAGCACCAAGTTTTGAGGTAAGAAAAGACTTTATAATGAATGAATGAAGCAGAACAAGAAAACTTCTGGCCAGATTAACTTCCTGTGGTTCAAAGGCACAGACCGGTGTCACAAGGTGGAGTTCCCTGTCTCTGCAGTGATACTCATGTTTAAGAGCTGGCAGGCAACAAAAAGTGTTAAGAAAGAAGTTACCCAATGAAAAGAAGCCCCTTTCTGAATTAGTAAAAGAAGATACGATCTGAGCTTCCACAGCTGCAACCAGGGCTTGGCTATGCTGGAAGTGCTGCAGGAGGCCTAAGCTCCAAGTAGCAAAGCCCTGGCTTAAACGGCCTCAAGGTGACACTTACTGCAGGGCGTGACGGGGTACCACTCAACCCTGGGCCTCCAATTTAAACTGTGGACATTCTCTCAAATGAGATTACAGATTCAGCAAGAGACACACTGAAAGCACTGAAAGAACACACGCATTTTATGGCTTTAAACTTTTAAACTGTCCCATTTCCAGATCCCACATAGACTACAGAGCACCATGAATTCATATTTTTTAATAAATCCTATAACTAGCTTGTGAATAAGGCAATTAATTATACATTTTATGTGTGCACTAAAGGCATTAATTTGTTAAATGTAAACCCTTAAAATTTACCACAGTTTCTACAATCCTGCTCTGAAATTTAACTTTTTATGTGCCACCAACCTAGGGGCCTTCCAAGCCCTGAAGCCTATGACAAGCAGCCGCTCTCCGGCCACGGCTCCAGCCCAAGGAATCCTGCCCGCCGGCCAGGTAAACAGTTGCAATTATTCTAGTTAGAGCTCATGGTAAAATGAGGTAACATTTTCCACCACTTTTATGATTTCTCTGCTTTTCACAATTTAACATCTCTGAAGTGAGGATGCGTCTTGTAATTAATGGCATCTTACAAATGCTTTCAATCAAGTAGCAGCTGTGACATAATTGTCACTGCCTGCTCACAAGCAAATAAAAGAACCATCAAAATTGGCCAAGTAAGTGTTAGCAGCTGGGAAAAAAATCCTACAGGCTATGCTGGAACCCCTGAGAACCAACGCGAAAGAGACAGTGAGTCAGATATATTCAGCAGCATTCCCCATCTGGAAGTCACCAGCAGGCCAGTCCTATGTAACTGCCAAGACAGGCAGAAACTCAGCTCCGAGGCCTCTCACCCATTTTGGTAAATACCAAACTACCAATGTGCTTGGTGGACCGAGGAGAATGGTGTGTGGAAAATACAGAAACCAACACTGACTTCAAAAGAGAGGAGTGTAGAAGGTAAGCCCCTGTAGGTGAAGAAGCTTCAATCAACTTATTATACCTACATTTTTCTTTTTACGTATGTATGAGAACTATATGATAAAAACGCATGTTTGAGTCTGCAAGCTCCTTCTATAAGAAAAATAATAAATTCTAAGTGATAAGAAACCATTTTATCAGTCTAATTGACAAATTTTTTTCATGGTAGAATATGAGACAAGAATTCTTAAAATTGATGGCCACCTTAGAGTCAACAAAATATAGTAATAATTTACTGATGTCGCAGACCAAGTCGCACAGTGAGCCCTGAACTGCAAAGCCCACTGAGTCTCCCAGGCCCCTTACAATCTCACTTCCCCCGCCCTTCCTTCTTTGTGTTTATCTGTCTCTATTTTCACTCCTTTCCTGAAGGATGGAATGCTGGTTCCTGCCCATCTCTGGGACTCTGAGGTCTGCAAACATGCTGGTCCCACGTTGTCCCATTCATCCATGCCTGACACTCGTGGCTGCCTCAACTGTATCTCTCCTTCCCCCAACCTACTCTCTCATCACCTGACCTAAACACAGAAGTGAGATATACACTTCAATGTACATATACTGGATGTTTTTATTTCTCTGCTCTGAAGTTAACAGAGTATTTACATTTCTTGCTCAAAGAAAATCAATACAGCAAATTAAATTGCTCATAATTATCATACAAATGGATCAGCAGGCGGGTAGAATAGAATGTGAATGTGAAATCAAAACCAGGTCTGGGAAAAGAGAAGAAGTTTATCTATACCTGCTATATTTAAAATAGCGGGCACAAAACCATGTCATTTAATTGCACAAAACAGTAACCGGGCATTTTTAATTTCATTTTTAAATAACTTTCCTAGGAACACACAGACAATGAATGACAGATACTAAATTTGAAAGCAGGCAAGTGTGATTTAAAGCCCATGCTTATTTTCTGTGTATCAGAAACTGACACATAAAAAATGTATAAATGAAATAGAATACTTGTCTACAATGTATAACACAAACATACACATGTCACGTGTTATTAAGTTACCTGGCTGGGTGATACATCCGTGGAGGAGGCCGGTGCAAACGTCTTCTCTAAAGTCTCAGGCAAAGAGTGATACGCGTCCTTCTCCTCCAGTTTCCAGTAAGTCAGTCCTAACGTGCACAAACACACCGGATAGATAAGGGTGAGGAAAAAGAACAAAAATGCTTTGTAGAATGACTTATTTCTACCTGAAGAAAATTAAATATGGGAAGTAACTAGTTTTTGGCTCTCTGGATACAGGAAATTGAATTTGGAAGGGAAAAAATTCATATAAATGCCTTGCCATGTAAAAGCCCTAACTTAACGATCCAAGGATTTTAAACTGATATTATTCATATTATTAAATATTATAATACATAATATTATATCATATTATTAAAAGTCAAGATAAACTAGTGTTATTTAAAATGTATTTTAAGGTGGGGAAGGATATGGGTCAAGTGGTAGAGTGCGTGCTTGCTTAGCATGCCTGAGACCCTGGGCTTAATCCCCAGTACCTCCATTAAAAAACAGAAAAAAAGAAAAAACTAACAGTAAATGAATAAATAGACCTAATGACCTCCCCCAATAAATAAATAAAAATAAATAAACTTTTAAAAATTAAAAACATAGTTTTTTTAAAATTTCTTTATGCACAGTACAGACTTACACAGAAGCAATGCAAAGAATTCAATAATTTGGATATTTATCGAGCATTTACTGTGCCAGCTGCGGGGAAGGTGTGGGCGGGAAGGGTGCGCCATGAGCAGTAAGTAAATCATGCAATACATACAGTGTGTTAGGAGGTGGGAAACTGAAAATCTGGGGATAAGGGAATACGCAGTGTGTGTGGAAGGGAGGGCAGGCACTCTTTCTGAATAGGGGGCTCAGGGTTGGCCATGTGAGCCCATTTATGAGGGAGTTCCCCCCAAAAGTGGGGGGAGAACGTTTCACATAAAGCAAACAGCAAAAGCCCCAGAACGAGAACTTATCTGGCACATTTGAGCGAACAGCCTCTCTGCTGCTGAAGCAGAGAAAGGGGGAGAGTAGCCACAGTGAGGTCAGAGAGCAGGGCTCATCTCCCCAGGCCTCTGTAGGACAGACTCCAGCTGCTCCCCCGCGGGAAGTGGACCCGCTGCAGGGTCCGCACAGAGGAGTCACATGAGCTGACTTATCTTTAAGAAGAACCACTCTGGCTGCCGCGTGGAGACTAGACGGACGGTGCGAGGATGGCAGCAGGGAGGCTGGCTGGGAAGCCCGCAGGAAGCCAGGGGGCAGGGGCCGGGGCTCCGTGAGGGTGAGCGCAGGAAGGTGTGAGAGGTGGCTGGATTCTGCCAGTTTTCATAAGGCAAAGCTAGTTCATCTTTTTTTTTCACTTTAAATATAATTTTATTTGTCAATTATATCTCAATAAAGGTAAAAAGAATCTTATAGATATAATAATAATCTTTCTAAGCTGATAACAACTTCACTTTGGTAACATACAAAAATAGACACTTTCACTCCCCTTACTAGTAGTTTATGTTTTCAATGTCACAAATTACATTTTAATATTGTTAATATTGTGTGTTTACCAATTAACAAGTTATTGAAGCTATGGGTATTTTTAATACATTTGTTCTCTAACTTTTACACTAGAATTAAGTTATTAACACACCACTGTATCACAAATTTAGAGTCTTCTTATTTGACTATATATTTACCTTGACTAATGTGTTTTATATTCTCGCATGTGTTCCTGTTACTAATTACTGTCTTCTCCTTTCAACTTGAAGAACGCCTTTCACTAATTTTTTTTTGTAAGGCAGATTTAGTGATGATAAAGTCTGTAAAGCTAGTTCATCTTAAATTGGATGTGGGATTGTGGAAAAAAAGTCAGTATGTAAAGCCATTAAAACTAAAAGAAGCTCACCATGGAGAGTAATGAATGGCTCACAGAGGGTTTGAATTTCTTAATTCATTTTGGAGCACGTGAAAAGTGCCGAGATGATTTTTGCAGCCATTTGAAATAACTGCAAAAGTACTTCTGTCTCTACAGAACTTGTAACAAATTAAGGCAAGTAAAGAAGTTACAGCTACTGGAGGCCCAAGACAACACATCATACATTTACAGAAACCACTCTACTATACTGTACATGATATCCTATGAGAAATGCACACAAGTTATTTAAAAAACCCTTTAAAAATATAAGTATCATACCTGTTCCTGAATCAGACATCCAAGATTTTGGACTCTCATCTGGTTTTTTGAGGTAAAAAGCTTGAGCATGTGTAGCAGCAATGAAATCAGACTACAATTTAAGAAAGAAAACTATCAGCTGACAGCTAAAAATCATTAGGCACAAACTGCTGACCCGAGGAATGAGAGCCAGGTGTGAAATCCAGGCGCAGAGAAGCTTTCCGAGGGTTCACGAAGAAAGCAAGCGTGGTCTTCCCCGTGGTCACAAGAATGCAGTGACAGCAATTAACAGTGAAGAATTTTCTATTCCCGTGTAAATTCACTAAAGTTTATTTTGCCTCTCTGTGAAGCTGGAAGGAGAAACTAAAAGCAGGTGTTTCGAGTGCAGATTGAAAATGTATTTAATAACTGGTTACCAGAAAAGGCTCAAAATGCTTGCTTATCCTTAATTCTAAAAAAATTCTGAGCTAATCTCTCCTCACACTATCTCTGATATTGCCATAAGAAACCTGTTTCCAAACAGAGATATGTGAAAAATTATTTTCATCGGAATTTTTCTTATCAGCACCACCATCATCAAACTTTTAATTCCTGTTAAAAAAGATTTAAGTTGTATTTGCTTACAGCCATCTGTGGACGCACTGCAAAAGCACAGTAAGAGGATGGCATTCTACCTACCTACCAAGGAAAGGTTACCCCTCCGCCTTCTAAGGCACCACTTTACCTCTTTTTATTCGAATGTCTCCCCTAAAGCTCCTACCTGTTCAAATTTCTGTTGAGTCTCAGTACTTAACAGCCCAGGAAAAGCTGACTGCAGAAGAGTAAATGAAAAATCCCAAGTGCACTATTCTGACCCTCTCCCGGTTCTGAGGTGCCACTCAGTGCACTGAGGCGACACACACGACATCGCTGGAAGGAGGCACACTCACACGGCAGCCTGCTGCTCTCCTCTCAGCAAACAGGGCATCGGCTAAAGAAAACAGCCACAGCTTTCAATGAGAAATCAAAGTATGGTGCAAGCAAAAGCCTTCCCCAAGAAGCTGGCCTCAGCCTAGCACAAGGACCTTCACTAGTGTCGGCAGCCGTCCAGCAGCATCTGAAAACCACCATGGAGTCCACACCCCAGGAAAGGGTGACATCCAGGCTGCGCCAAAGGAGCAAGGACACAAAGACCGACTTGAGCTCTGGAAAATCCTTGTGCTAAACAATAACCAGTTTCAAGACATGCTTCAAAATAGCTAGTGCCCAAAATAAACTACGTCATATAAAAAGAAAATCGGATCCCAAGAGAATTCTGATCATAAAGATTCCCTGATTTAAAATGAACCCGGAAAAAAATGCTGGGAGAAGAGAAAGGATGAAATAAAGAGGAAAGATTCACTTTTGTGAATCCAGAGAACCTGATTTAGAATTACGCAGGTAAGAAGTGCATTTCAGGTGTGGTGTCTTAGATACACCAACCGCCATTATCAAAATTACATCTAAAACTTAGAAATACCAAAGAAACTTGATTTTCCCTAATGATTTAATACCAAAAATATCTAATTCACCTTAAAAAATAACGAAAATAAAACTTGTCCTGTCCAGGAGGTGATTTAAAAAAGGAAAAATTCAAGGGGAATCACAGCCTCACCCTCTGCTCTTCTGACACCCCCCAGAGGGAGAACAGGCTCCTGGGTAAACTCATCCCCCAAAGGCATTTCTCAGGCAGTGCTTCTGATCTTCTGGCTGCTGGTCTGATCCTCCACTGAATCGAGGAAGAAATGAGGCTAGACCAGTGGTTCCAGCATATAAGAATCACCTGAGGAGCTTTTAAACCACCTGATCACAGACCACAATCCCACCAATGAGGGCAGACCACCTGGGGCATAAGCAGACTTTCAAAGCTCCTTAGGTGACTCTAATAGCCAGCAAATTCTGGGATCCACAGGGCTACATGAGACAAATATTGATCTACAGTCACAAATGACAGTGAATCAACCGAGTCACACACCACAAACCCAAACCTTTCAGAAATAACAAAGTCTCCACAAACTGAGTTTCAGTTAAGGTAAAAATAGAAAAAAAAATTTGTAACAAATTAACAATACAAAAGAAAAAGCAAAAAACTTATGTTAATGGCTATGTGGTAAACTCAGCACAATTATCCTAATTGCCCGCAGCTTGCGTGCCTGAGTATAGTGACTTGCACCTACTTTCTCAATTGGTGATTTCTTGGTTTGCTCATTTCCTTGGGTAGATTTTGAACATCCCTCTTCTGTGTGTGCTCTCTTTGGTTGGCTCTGCTTCAGCTTTTGAGCCCATGATGTTATGGATTTACTATTTAAAAAGAAAAAACAAAATAACCCCCTTTAGATGCTGTTCTTCACAAATTAAAACTAAACAGTCAGCGGAGATGCTTGGAGTTGTTTTTCTAATAGCAGATGGATTTTTATTGATTCACAAAAGTTTCTTTCTACAATGTAATTATTACTATGGGCAAAATGAACAAAAAGACTGACTAGCAGTCATTAACAATACATACAGTCTTTGCAGCCATGCAATAGGATAAAAGCCACCACAGCAGCCCTTTCAAGTACTAAGTATATCTCTACAGTGAAAGCTTATTCATTTACACAGACTAACAATTACACTTATGGGTACCCAAGATTTGTACTGCTACAGATCAATACGTTAAATTAGATGACATATTTCAGGGCCATAAAAGTGAACATTAAAAATTTTTAATGATTATTTGCTTTATAAACATTCAACCAAAGTTTCTTTTACTAAAAAGTTCCCTGGGTCACTCGAAATGTCAATAAACTTAGAAAATCTCTCCTTATATATACAAAACAAAAATGAATATGATTGTATATAATTTTTGGTTTCAAATTATATTAACATGTCTGGCAAAATTCCACTTTTTGATACAATCCTATATGTTAATTTTCAGCAACTCTATAGTGACTACAAAATATAAAAGGTATTTTTCTGGCAAGACCTCCCACTTCAAGAGTTTTAGTAGTCTTACAACATTGTAAATGGGAAGACAGATATTAGCATGCTGCAGTATGCTTTAATTTCAGTTTTTCACAGGAAGTAAAAGAATTTGATAAAATTGATAGACATTCAAATACATCTCATTCCATCACCGTCCAACTAAAAGCAGCTTTATTTACTAAACAAAAATGTTTAGTTTATTATAAATAGAATAAACAAGTAAAACTCCCTTCAAGTGATGGAGAAATTCTACTTACGTATTTGTTTTTCCACTGTATACTTCCGAAATCTTATTTTCACCAAGAAAATTGTGTTCAAATTCACCAGGAAAAATGGGAATATCTTCCTTTAAAGATGCACAGAACTCTTCATTAGTATGTATATAAAAACTCCGGGGTTTTACACTATCTGCAGGTGACTCCGTCCGCACCACAGGTGCTCCGAACCCTTCTTCAGAAGCCTCCGTGTGCTCCATGAACTCCTGAGGGCCCTTAGATCTGTAGGTGTTTAGTTCTGAGACACAAAGGGTACCATACCCGCTGCTCACTGAGCTGCTCTCCACGTTGCAGTCTGGTTGTGACATGGGTGTTTCTTGCTGCATTTCGGGTTCTTCAGACTTAGGATAACTGATAACAGATTCATTTCTTTCACTGTTTTCAGAAAAAAAACCCATTTGACTTTCTGAAGATATTTGTCTGCTTAAAGAACTTTTATCATAGGAAGCCCAGGAAGCATTACTGGTCTGTAACTTCACTAAATATTTTATCTCCTCCTGTATACGCTGAAAATAAAAAGTGACAGACTTGGGTAAGAAAGTAAATTAACATCACGTTTTTATAACCATCTTTAAAATACTGTTTTAAAAATAAGAGATATTATTCTAAAGATGATATATGTGCATTATCTTTAGTTTATAAACAAAATTAATACAAAGAATTGGTTCCTCTGCAAATTTTACAATATAAGAATCAATATGAAGAACAACTTACTTGAATTTGGTTGTGAAACTGTTCCTGCTGAGCAACTATTTGCTCTTGGCATTGTTTTTCCACCAAACTGAATAGCTGTAACCACCTGGTCTGTTAAATTATAAAATATTTTCATTAAAAATAATTTTAACCTAATATTTCACAGAAATATTCCTCCAGTGGGAAACAGCCTTCTTAAAATGTATTTTTAATGTAAAAAGTATAGGTAAGTAAGTAATAAAATTATATTCAATGTAAAAATATGAGGACATAGGCTTGGACATCCCTTTCTTTTTTAATTTTTTTTTTATTGAAGTATAGCTGATTTACAATGTTACATTAGTTTCTGGTGTACAGCACAGTTATTTAATTATACTTCTTTATTCTTCTTCATTATAGGTTATTACAAGCCACTGAATATAGCCCCCTGCGGTATCCAGTAAGATCTGTTATTTATCTATTTTATATACAGTAGTCAGTATTTGCAAATCTCAAACTCCTAATTTGTCCCCTCTCTTCCCTCTTTAGTAACCATAAGTTTGTTTTCTATGTCTGTGAATCTGTTTTTGTTTTATAAATTAAGTTCATTTGTGTCATTTTTTAGATTCCACATATAAGTGATATGATATGATATTTGTCTTTGTCTGACTTCACTCAGTTTGATAATCTCTAGGTCCATTCATGTTGCTGCAAATGACATTATTTCATTCTTTTTTATGGCTGAAGAGTATTCCATTGTATAAATATACCATAGCTTCTTTATCCAGTCATCTGTTGGTGGACATCCAGGTTGCTTCTGTGTCTTGGCTACTGTAAACATTGCTGCTATGAACACTGGGGTGTATGTATCTTTTCAAATTAGAGTTTTCTCCAGATATATGCCCAGAAGTTGGACTTCTGGATCATATGGTAACTCTAGTTTTAGTTTTTTAAGGTTGTTTTCCCCTTTCCCATATGACCTGTGATCTGGGCAAATTTGAAAGTCTGGACAAATCTTATTTTTCATATAGCATCTTAATATTATGTCATCTGCCATCACTTCTGATGAATCAAGAACTGCTGGTAGGTGTATTTTATATCTGTCTTAAGTTCCTCTTACTTTCCTCATAACAGCTAATGGTTTTCTTACACACTAACCTGGACCCAGAAAAAGAACTGCACATCTTAAAACAAATAGTTTGGTATTATGAGAATCTGACCCCTAATTTGGTTGTTCTTCAAGTAAAATTACTCTTTTCAAAGTCACATGTTTAAGTGTTTTAAAACACTGTGGCTGAAAAAGAAATAAAAGTGACTCTGGAAATGTACGGAAGCAGCCTACAATTCCTTTCTTTCACAGCCACTTTTACATCCTGATCCATCCTGACCCCCCAGAGTAGTCAGTGCTCTTGTAACTAGACTAAGCCAAAACATGGAAGGAGAGGGGGTGTGGAGTTCTCCAGAGGCTGAATTCAATCTAAACGCCTGTCTACTTTCAGTAATAGCCCATATGCAATAACATACCATGTCAATAAGTAGCTACCGTGACAACCAGCTTCCCTGTGTAAAAGCTCTCCAGCCATTCCTTACAGGGCCCTGCATGTGGTTCTGGCTCACACACACCTGCCAACTTCATCTCAAGTCTCTCTGTCCCATTTTCGACACACTAGCTGCGCTGCTTCCCTTCTGTTTCCTGAACATGCTAAAGTTGTCTTCCACCTCAAAAATTTTGGACTTACTGTACCCTCTACCTGGAAAGCTCTCTCCCCAGCTCTCAACGTGGCTGGCTTCTTCTCATCCTGCTATTTCAGCTTAATTATCATCTTCTCGAAGAGTTTCCCAAACCATCCTCACAGTTACTGTCTTTCTCAGTATCCTGCTTATTTCCTTCACAGCATTTACCACAACCAGAAAGTATCTCATTTGTTCACTTTGTCAACTTGTCAGTCTCCCATCCCTGCCCCTACTCCATCTCCAGCACCCAGGACATAATGCCAAATTAAGAATGGGCTCCCTAATACACAGTCTAAACGAGTGTATAAAAATGGATATTGCAAGCTGAACTTCACACAATCCAGAGACCCTTCAGGTTAGTGGTGAAAGCCACTTATATACCATAATATAACAGAACTACGTTGAAACTTGTATTTCAGTATTGAGGTAAAGGGGAGAAAAATTCAAGATTAGAAAGGAAGCCTTAAAGTGAAATACAAGGGTACTGATAGGAAGTATCAATTCTAGAACAACTGACTTCAGGACAAGGTGGACTAGATCAAATGTAGTTCCTTACTCTCTCAGCTTACTTACAATATTAAGTATCTTAATAATAATCAAAACAAAAAAGAAATAATCAGGCAACAGTTTTTTTCAATTATACTAAAGCAATCCTTTAGGGTTATTTTTAACCTGATAAAGTTATTATTCACGTAAAACTAAACCATAGGGATAACAGAATAACAATTTACTTTAAAAATGGATCACAGTATGTGAGACACTTGATATTAATCACATCCTTATAATCATTTTACTGTTTAGGATACAAATGAATAGAGTTCATTCAGACTATAAATTAATGGAGATTTTGTTTTTCCCAGTCAGATATTATAGTTAACATTTTAATTTTAAATAAACTAATTTAAGAACATTATGGCTACAGTGAACATTATTCACTTAATTATTAAGAAGTGTTACTATTCATTTCAAACTAAATAATTTATACTTCCTGTATTTTACATATTGTTGGAGCATATGGGCATCTAGTTCAAGTTTTCCCCTGGACGCAGGTTTTTGATGCTGTTAGTCCGAATGGGATTTCTGTAGTCTGGCCTGGTAAATATTCCACGGGCTTTTTCCTAAGTCTGACTCCCACCTCTCCACTAACAACCTATGTGGTCCCCAACAAGAAAATTTCATTTCTTTGTGCCTCAGTTTCCTAATTTAAAAAATGTGAATTACAACACCTTATACGTGACTGGGAGGATTAAATTTTAAATTTAAATATGTTGCATGTAAAGCAGTGATTTCAACAGGGTACCCTATTTTGAAAATCTATGAGTTCATGGTTGTCATAAAAACAGTGGGAGCACCACCAGCATTTAGTGGGCAGGGTCCAGGGATGCAAATTACAGGACAGCCCCCTACAATAAAGAACTGTCCTGTGTCTGTTTTATATTATAAACATTACATATACTTTGCAGTTTTCAAATCACCAAATTGTCCAAGAATGCAACTATCAAGATGTTAAGTTTGTTTCAGAATTTGCTCAGCCATGAGTCATCATTTCAGAAAATCATCACCAACTGCAGTGCCGGGTCATCAATACACAGAAGCTGTATCAGGCTGGGTTGACAGCTGCTGCATTCACGGTGAGTCTACATATAGGTCAACACCAGACTGCTTCATTACATTTTCCAGTGTAGATGTGCCTGTGCATTTATATATTGAAATACATGTTCTCTTATTATAAATAACTATTATTCCTCCTTTACATCACAGTTAGGACATTACATCAATTTTTTAAAAAGTGGATGGATCTGTGAATTTTATTTCAAGACAATATAAGTTGAAGTTATTTAGAAAACTTTTATAAAGAGGGCTTTGGGTCTAATAAGGTTGAGTGCCACTGACAGAAAGTGTCTAGTATACTACCTGGCAAATAGACACTCAAAAAATGGTAGGTATTATAATAATAATTATTATACAACCATTACTATTATATATACAGTAGTGCCAAAATGCTAAAGTAACTAATTAAAACAAATTAGTTAATGAAGCGCTTTAAAATTTTCTTACAGTCACAGAAGTATTAGCAAGTACTTAAGAATGTATCAAAGTACTTCTATAAGTAAATGTGTTAAAAGATTCTTTCTTGACCGAACTAAAATATATAACCTTCCCAAGTTTAAGCAGTGATAAACAAGAATTCCAGGAGAGAGGTTTTATAAAGGAATTCTAAAGAATCAGATTATCTCCAGATCTCTTCCAGAGCTCTGTGGAAGGTTGAGTGTTTTGTTTTAATAATGTAGATTAGATTAGTTTCTTACAAGTGGTAGAAATCAGATGTTACTATTCCAAAAGAAATATATAAACGTGAAATTCAGGGAAGAGTCAAGAATAAGACTTGCACAATCCTCACCCTCCCTTTCTTTTTAAATCACTACCTTAAAGCATCAGAAGCTTTTATTTTGGTAGGCTACAAAAACACAAAATACAAATCCAAGAAATTTTACCAAAATGGCCAGAAGTGTATTTCATATTCTGTCAAAGTAAGAAATAGCTTAACAAATTCTTCACTGAATAATCAATTATATGCCTACATTACAAAATTAAAGTAGTCAATTAATACTAAACGTAATAAAAATAATCTGTTAGATCACAGGAGAAGGAAGGACAGAAAGAAAGAAACTGTTTCAAATGTTAAAAGATGTAAGTAGCTGGTTAGTATTCTGGCTTATAATAACTTGCGCCTTAAATTCACAAACATATTCTGGTTCTGATTTAAGATACTGATTTCAAATATTAAAAGTAACAATTTCTAGTTAAACATGAATTTGCCAGAAGTCAAACCACACTGAGGCAATGTCTCATTTTTTTTTAAAGCTTGTCTATTTAGGTATTATAAGCTAATGAGTATATTAGAGGAAACAGTTCATGAAACATTCTATTATTAGTTACATTAACTTTACAATGGTATTTTATAGGTCTTTTGCATTAGAACATACAGATTGTCATATGGAAAAAAAAGTATAAAAACTTAAAAATTCTGGGGCGAGGGTATAGCTCAGTGATAGAGCATATGCCTAACATGCATGAACTTCTGGGTTCAATCTCCAATACCTCCATTAAAAAATAAGTAAATAAACCTAATTACACCCCCCCTAAAAAACTCAAAACTTAAAACTCAATTTTTAAGTTTGCCATAATACTCAGTCACTTTTTTTAATTTCAATGATTATGGATAACGAATATAAGTAATTACACTTGGGGATGGCTGCTACCAAATTCTTAAACAGGTAATATTTCATTCCATTTATTCTACATCCTGAAAAATTACACAAATTATATTTAAAAACATGATTAACACAAAACAAAATCTGCTGCTCTGTAAATAAAGAACTTAATAATGTTTTATACATTTCTACAAAGCATTACCAAATCTTGCCTTGTTAAAATCTATTTTGGGCATAATTCCATGAAATAAGATTTATATGTAAGTATTCTCTTAACTGTTAAATTTTTATATCACAGTTTAACCTACAGACCAAAGAAAGAACCACTTGACCTGAACAATCAATAACTCAATGTAGCACAGCTAAATGTGGCAATGTATTAAGACAGAAACCTTAATTTATAATTAGAGCATTCAAAATATTTCACAGTGGATTTAGGTTTTACAAAATGATGACAATCCTGTATAAGTTACTTAAAATATTAGAAATAATAACAATATTAATCATTTTGAAATTGTCATTTTTCTGAAAAAAAGACAATACTTTAGTTCACATTTAAAATAAAAATTAGAATGTGTGATCACTAATATATTGTTAAAACATACTTTTGGTCATCTTTTTCACATCTGTTCTATACTGTTTCTTACTAATATACTTAATCACTTTATTCTAGCAATAACTAAAGTGTCATGCTCTTTCAGATATAAATTTCTAATAATTTAGAGTTTAGTAGAGGCAAATTTACAAGTAGAATTTTTTTTTTTAATTTCAAAAGTAAAACAAAACTAGATACCTCACAGTTTTTCCAAAGTTCCGAATCAGTCTTTCCACTGTTTTGTAGCTCTTGCATTAAAGAGGTTAGGACTTCAACTGTACCTTGAATTACAGATGGTCTGGTCTTCCCTGAGAAAGAGGATACCCCATTTGTACTAAGGTGGGGACTACTTCTGCTGAAACATAAATAATTCAAATGGTTTTCTTCATTCTATCAAAGTGTTGAATAATTCAGCAGTTCAAGATTTAGCAGAGCAGTACAAAACTACTGATATTTAATCCTTTTTAATGGCACCTCATTTGCTGAAAATCTGATCACAACTTTGTCCATGAAATGAAAATAGCAGTGAAAAGACAGACAGCACTTAATTTTACTTTTAAGAACACAACAGAAGGACCTTCTTCATAAGTGAGAGAACACTCCAAAGTACCAGCAGAAAACAAAAGTTTCTGCTAAATAAAAATAAGAAAAATTCCAAGCTACTCAGATCTAAATCATTCCAGAGGATTATTTCACCCCACTTTAAGAACAGCCCTTTATTGGAATGGGGATTCTTTCTCCATTGCCCAGAATTACAGCCAAGTCTTGTTAACTGGATCCCCCTAATTGGGTGTGATAAACTGACGCTTATCTTTGCAGTGTCTTTGAATAAAAGCAGTGCCAAGCACATTAGCAGCAAATATTCAGGACTTATTCAGCCTGTTCAGTGTACAAAATAGCACTGATTCTTTCCAGGATTGCTTTTCCAAATTTGAGATCAGTTTACTTCAGATTTGTTTTATAAAAGCACAAAGCACAATTAAGGACATTAAAATTTACTTAAATTTAAATCACTGAAAGGTCACTTTCATTCATTTATTGATACTCCGGTTTGTTTCACAAACAATTTGTAAAAAAGAGGACACTAATGAAAACAATAGTAAAATAATAAAGAATTCGGATCAGAGAAAATATTAATAAAAATTCAAGGGAAAGAACATAAATATGTTGTCCATTAGAGGCTTAAAACATAATTCTAGTTGTATTATAATCAAGTTAAATCTGACTGATTTAACTTTCAGGTTAAAAAAAGGGAGACAGTTCAGTTCCGTAATTTTCATTAGAAAGGTACATTTAGGTTCCACCGAGAAAATCGAACACTAAGTTCTAAAAAGAGCTGCTTCTAGCAGTGAGTTTCAAAGAGGCCGCCAAATAATACAGGAAACACAAAGCACGGCCAGCTTTCAGGAAGCGGGATAGATGACGTTGGCAAACATTTCTGGACCACATCCCATGCTTTCCCCCCCCCCTTTTCACCCTACTTTAATTTATGCTTTCTCCTTTGATTGTATATATTCTTGTAAACTGCCATAAATTCCTCCTGACAGGGCAGAGGATGAACAAATTTTTTAAGGAATTAATTTATTTACAATATACAATTTCTTCAAGACCTATTACTGTGTGTAACTTTGCTCCTTTACGGGTAGGCCCCCAGCTGCTGTGTTTTTGCTTTATTGTACCTGCTCTTCACAGGTGATGCCCTCTCTACTGGTCCCTGTCTCTGCTGTTTTTAAGCTACTGTAAATTTAAAAACCAAATAATCAAGCTTGTCAGACTATGTACAAAAGGAGAGTTAACAGGCCCTGATTAAAAACAAACCAAACATGGGACAGTTTTAAAAAGAAAATGTATAAAATGCAATGTTTGATAGCATCTCCTCTGTCAAATCAGAGCCGGTTTTTTTTAGCTTGCTTCGCTGCTACCTTCCAGACTGGCGAGGTACTTCCGCAATATGAAACATTATTTGTCCTCTTAATTTCAAAACGGAGAAACAATTTTTAGGGAACTAACATTTAAAGATATGCTTGTAGTTTACAAAAAACAAAACAAAAAAAGTAAAGAAAATTACAACTAGCAAGACAAGTTCTTTCCCCTCAGTGTTCCCCACGCCAAAGTCCATCTCTGGGAGAATGAAGAGCATGAAAGTGCTGAAACTATTCTTATTAAACAATGGGCCCCCAAACAGTCTCTGGGGGCATAGTTTTGGGGTTTTTAAACAAAATCAGTAACTAAGACACTATTTGGATAAACTGGTAAACTATGCAAATAAAGTTATTTTGATTTGTTGTCACATTAACAAAAAAAATCTATCCCATTCTTACCTGTTAGTATTTAAGTTCAGTCCAAGAGAATGGGAAGAATTTTTTATATCCGATTCTACAGAAGATGTTTTTTGTAAAGGTTTCCCCAGGTCAAAATCTTCCATAGCGTACAGAAATTGTTATACTCTCTTATTTGAAAATGTAGGCTCTCACTGTTTGAAGAAACTGAATCCGAGTCATCTTCAGATGCTTCAGCGTCTACAGGCATTTTCAGTTGCTGACATTCAGAACTGTGAAATATCCCAAGCTCACAAGAGAGTCTGCAAATGAATGAGGGAAAAAAAATACTATTACAAAAAGCCATTAAACCTAGTAACTCTTTTCAAGACTCTGGAAACCTTGATCCTTTTATACAAATCTACATTAAGGATAGCAACATTATTCATAATAGACAAAATTCAGAAACAACCCAAATGTCCATCAACTGATGAATGGATAAACAAATGTGGCATATCCATAAAATGAATTATTTTTCAGTCCTAGAAAAGAGTAAAGTACTGATTTATGCTACAATGTGGATGAACACTGAAAATATTATGCTAAGTAAAAGCTTGATAAAAGGCCACAAATTGTATGATTCCATTTATACAAATTATCTAGAGCAGGCAAATCTATAGAGACAGAAAAGAGATTAATGGTTGCCAGGAGCTGGGAGGAGAGAACAGGAGTTCCCAAAACAGGGGTGTCTTTCTGGAGAGAAAAAGTTCTAGAATTAGGTAACAGTGATGGCTGGACAACTCTGTGAATATACGAAACATCAATGAGTTGTACACTTCAAAATAGTAAATTTTATGGCATGTGAATTACATCTTAATAAAAAATCTACAATAATGGTGAGTTGCTGAAATAGAATTAGTTTTTTCAGGTAAGATTTCAAAGTTTCATGTATTTAATAATCAAGGTTCCAGACACAATTCTACTATGTAACAATTGAAATACTTACATGTCTTGTTTAATAAACTCTACTAAGTATTCAAGCTTGTTGATTTATACAGTGAATAGATGAATGGGAACTACTTAGTATTTAATTTGGTATTGAAAACAGCCAATTAAACTGTTAACAATGGTTGTTTCCCCACTGGCTGGAAGGTGGTAATATATACACAGAGTACCTCTGTACTCTATGCATGAATTACTTCTTTAAAACTAAACTATTTGCCAAGTCAACTAAAATTTAACTGAAGCTATATGTACAGAGGTAAATTGGCTATAACAAGTCAAATAATATGCCTCCTTCTTAGAGAATTCATGTACTTAAAAAAAAAAGAGCTAGAGTGGAGGGGAGAGGGATAAATTAGGTGTTGGGATTAACACATACACACTATTATATACAAAAAGATAAACAACAAAGACCTACTGTATAGGACAAGGAACTATAATCAATATCTTCTAGTAACTTATAAAGGAAAAGAATCTAAAAAATAGATACATATACATGTGTAACTGAATCACTGTGCTGTACACCTGAAGTGAACACAACATTGTAAATTAACTATACTTCAATTTTTAAAAAAGGGTACCAAAAACAAAACAAAAAAGAGCCAAGGAACAAGGAGAAAAAAAAAAGAATAAAGAAAACCTATGCTGCTTATCAAATGGAAAGTTTAGGGAGTGCAATAGAGGAAAATTACCTACTATTCTGGTTCCTCTAGGTTCCCACTTTCTAGGGCCTGGTTTTACAAAGCACAGCCTTGAATACATCAGCTCATAAAGGAACCATTTCCTTCAGGGACAGGTGTGAAAGCAAAGGGTAACTCGACCTAGCTAAATGCTTTTCTCCCCAGTGACTCAGCCCATCACCAACGACAAATGGGGTATTGAAAAAGTCAGGGGCTGCACCTTCCACATGGTAACGAAACTACCTTGATTCAAATCACCGTGCTCTTCTACCAGGAAAACACAAGCTCTCCAGAGACGTGGATCTGCATGCGACCCCATCTATTATTTCCCCCGCTGAGTTAATCCGGATGCAGTAGATCCAGATGGAAAACCACTTGAAATGCAAGGATGCTTCCCCAGCAGAGTATGGAGGTGGGGAGGGAGGGAGGTGGGAGAGCCGGGGATGGAAGAAATTTTAAAAACCGATGTACGATGCAAAATGTTAAGAACTGATGGAAAAGGGATATAAGAACAGAGTCATTTTTACCTCCCAGCAACAAAATATGACTCTTTTGATGGCCCCCAGGTCTTAGCAAAAAAAGGGAGTTAGAGGTAAGAAGAAGATCGCTGTGTGCTGAGAATATAAAAGTTACCCAGGAGTTTGCTTTGTTGGGAGCCCGAGGGAGGAAGGAAGGGTTGATTTCAGGTTTTGAGGCCAAATCCTGACATTCTCGCACTCACAGCCAGAAGACTGCAAGTGCTGGTGGCGGTTCTCGGGTTAAAGTGGGAAGGCGAGGGTGGGAGAAGCCACGTAGCCAGCTGCCTAAAATGTAGATAGCAGGGAGACCGGCGGGAAAGCAACCCCTCCAACAACTACAACGGTAATTCCCAAAGTAAGCCCAGGAAGCTGGTCAAAAAAAGAAAAAAAAAAAAAAAACAGAAAAAGAGAAATCCCTCAAGCCCCCCGCCCCTCGGGGAGAGGCGCTCTGCGATTGGGTCGCTCGGACGTCACTCAAGGGCACTGAGTCTAGAAAAGGTGTACAGCCGCGGGTAAAGCCCCCACACGCCCGCGGGCTCCGGCGGGGATGTGTCTCGTGACTGTCGTCTTCCCCCACCCTAACCGGCCAGCAAGCTCAAGGGTCGACGTCGCGTCCCCTGTCCCCTGCGACCAGCAGCTCCCCTAGGCCGGCGGCCCCTTACCTGGCCGCCGCTCCCACTGCCGATGTCAGGGTCGGGCGAGCGGCCTCTCGCGACCGTTAAACTCAAGGGAGCGTGCGCGCGCCCCGCGTCTTGGTTGCGATTGGCTGCTCGGAAGGGGGCGGGGACGGCCGAGCTGCGGCGCGCGCGTCCACTTCCCCTGTCCCGTCCGCCAGTTCTCACCCTAGAGGGATGTCAGACGCCTGGGAAACAAGAGGGGGCGGGGTTGATGTCAAGTCCTCTCATTTGATTGGCTCTCGGGAACCTTCTGCCGCTCCGCGGGAAAAGAAGCCTCTGCTTCCCGCATGCGCAGTTAGTAAGACAGGCCTCAGGCTGGTGAGGGGAAGATGCGGTAGGAGTACGGCGCGTGCGCAGACGGGACCGCGTTTGCGATCCAGGTCCTGCGGCGAATCCAGGTACCCCAAAAGGTTGGGGACGAGAGGCCAGTCTTGAGGCCAGGTAAGCGTCTTCGGAGAAGCCAGGCACCCACACGGTTGCCCACGATTATCGGGGGCTCTGGCAAGAGGACTTGGAGCTGGGAACCCTGAGTTTCCCGGTTTGCGACCGTGAGTCGCGCAACCAATTGACTGAGGCCCCGCGGGCGGTGAGGTGAAGCCGGCCAGGCCCCTGAGCTAAATTTTCCCTGGACCTGGCTTACCCTAGGCTGGTGGGGGTCGGCTCTGGGGCTCTTCACAGACTTGGTTGGGGAGAGGAGGAGAGCCCACCGTGGTGGAGAAAACCGTTCCACCGAGGCCCGAGGACAAATGGAAAGATCCTGGTTTCCTTGTTCGGCGGAGCCTTAGGGAACTATTAGCAGCGCGGCCTGTTTGGGCAGAGAGGGTGTTTTGTTTTTGCCAGACCTTTAAGGACGACAGAGAACCCGCTTCCTTCCCCCCGGTCCCCAGCCCGTCTCATACACACTATTCAGTACGCGTTTTTCAGACTGAATGTTCTTAACCTGTAAGGTATTTCCAGCTCTTAGATTTCCCTCCAAATGTCCTGAGCCCACACCACAGTAGAGGGACTTCGCCATCCTTGTCACTTAGGTGTGCCTGAGAAACCAGGGTGAAGCAGATATTATTTGCCCTTGGAATGACAAATCTGCCAAGAGGCATTCCATCTGATCTGAGCCTCCTAGGAGTATGTACCAATTTTGTTTCTACAGTAAAAATTCAATCTATCCAAAACCCCATTCGTGTATGAAAGATTTCAAGCTTAAATAAATTGAATCCTTCCCCCAATTGTGTTAATTCACCAGTCAGTACTATGTTCGTGTAGGACCTAACAAAAATCTATTTTTAAGCACATGGCTCTATTTCAGCGACCATGTTTCAAGCCCACCAAAAAAAAAAAAGGCAGTTATATCACTAATTTCAGTTAGTTACAAAATCTATTACTTGAGACACCGTAGAATATTGCACTCACAGAAGAACTAAAAATGTGGATTCCTGAGACAGCTCCAGGCAGAGAGAGGTGCATTTCCTTGCAAGAAAAATGTTGAGCCCAAAATGGAGTACTAGAGATTAGTTCCTAACCATGCAAGGGGCAGGAAATCACTGCTTTTCACTACAAAATCAGATGGACTCTGTTTAGTTTGTGTATCTTTTGGTTTTGGTTTTTGGCAGCGTGATTTTGGGTAACTTAAAAAAAAAACAACTTAATGTCTTAATAAGCCAACATGTTCAGGAGCTAATATTCTGATTATCAGAGTTACCTTGTTAACCAGCTGATATGAAATATTTTGGTAAATTTACACGACACTTCTTAACTTAGGTTAAGCTCTTTGGTAGGGCCTTAATTTTTACAAATTCAGAGTAGAAATTTCCTTTGGAAATGGACTAAATGGACTAGAGAGAAGTTTCATAAACAGCTAAAGAGGTAGTCTTTAAAGTCCATGGAAATGATTTCTGTATACAGGAAACAGAAATAGAAGACCAGAATTTCAAGTATATATT